CCCCCCCCCCAGGCTCCAGGGCTGGGGACAGGAGGCTCTGATGTCAGCACTTGCTGAGGGCCACCCCTCCCTGAGTGTTCCTGGGCTGGGGCTGGCAGGATACCGGTAGCACTGGCCACACTCGTCTGTAGCTCAAGGTGGTGACGCAGGCCTTCGTCCCGCTTCCCTCCTCTGTCCCCTCCTGAATGCAGGCTGTCCTCTGTGGCTTCACATGTGGGCAGAGGAGGTGCTGCCCTGGGTGGTGGGGGCTCCACTTGCAAAGGAAGGGGCTGCTGAGCCCGAGAGGGGCCCCGGCCACAGTCATGCTTTCTTGCTCTGAGCACTGAGGAGGGGCGTCCAGATGCCGGCTGATCCCCAGGAACCAATTTTCATTCCTCCTGACAGCAGCCACCCCCTTCCATCCGCTGCCCTAGGCGCCCATCCCCGAGCCAGCCCCCAGCAGCAGGCCAAGCTCCCGGGATGGGGGCGAGTGATGTCGCCCCACCATGTCACAGGCTGGCTGACGGCAGGGTCCATCCTCAGCAGGGCTGTGTGCCGCGTCCTCGGGGCTCACCGGTGTGGTCTGGGTCTGGGTCCTGCCATTACGGTTCCACACCCTGGGTCACATTAGCTTCCTGGTGGGCGCCCTGCAGTTACGCTGGGCGGCTGTGTCGGCGTCTTGTGGGCTGCGGCTGTGAAGTGAGGGGTGGCAGGCCCTGGGTGACACGGAGCCCCGTTCTTTTCCTTCCCTGGTCTTAGCTTGGGAGGAGCGTAGGCAGCTGACCTGCAGAGGTGATTGTGGGGATGGCCGTTGGTGAGGCGCAGAGGTCATTCTTGCGTGGTCAGTGATTGATGCGTCTGTGTGTCCGTCCATCCCACGCTTCTGTGTTTGAGCTCCTCCTATGTGTTAATCTCGAATTTCTTCTCAGGGTCTTCACGCTGCCTCTTTGGCACATGGTACCTAGACCTCAACTATGCGTTTCCAAATCATTTCTCCCGTCTGCCTCCGGCATCCGTTCCTTTTGGGCTCTGCAAGTGTCCGCTGGTGCCCTGGGTGTTAAGGCAGAGTGCAGCTCATCTAGCTCTGGGCATCTGGGAATGGGACAAGGGGCCTTCCTTGGGCATGTTCTGGGATATGTAGTCTCCTCTAAGTGACACATAGGCTGTCCCAAAGCCAGTGGTGTTTCCCAGCGGGGCTCTCATCCTGATGGAGGAGCTGAGGCCCCTGGTTTCTTGAGAGACTGTCCTTGAAGGGGCGGGCTCCGCATCCAGGGCAGGACCGCCCACAAGGGCCTGTGCTGCCAGCTTCCTCTCAGGCGCCTGCCGTGCCTTTTATAAAACATAAAAATACTCTTTCAGCTCTGGCTCAGGGAGCCCCTGGCCAGCAGGAGGGGTGGCATTGGGCCTCGAAAGGTCTGGTGGCCTTTTCAACTTGCTGTAGCCGCGGCCTATAAACAGGTCCCGGAAGCTCCTGGGAAACAGCTTTCCCACCAGCAATCGAGAAAACAGGTCCACAGGCTGCACGTCTGGGAAGAGCATCACGGGCTGGGATCTCTGATCCCTTCCCTGGCCACCGCCAGTCTTGGAACCCAGTCTCAGAGATGAGCCAGAGCTCGGCACGGTGTCATGGTGGCAGGTGAGCCAGTGGCTGGCACGGCCATCTCTTCCCACGGGCGCGTCCAGGCCTGGGGCTGTGCCGGGCACCTGTGCTGGCTCTGCCTCTGGGGTCAAGTGGACAAGCTTCTGGCGAGACTGTGGGGGCTGGTGGGAGGGGTTCCCAGTGCTGAGCACTTTGGAGGTGTCACCCATGTGCTAGGGACTGACCACACTTCCGTGGGAGCCGAGCACCACCCAGGAAGATCAAAGGGGCCACCGGGCCACCAGAGGCAGTAACTCCGTGGACATTCAAGTTTCTCTAAAGTGGGTCCCTGGCTCCACCCAGCACCCAGCTCCCAGCGACTCTGAGTTGGTTTTTGGTGCCTCTGCCCACCCCCACCCCC